CTACTACTTCTACTACTACTACTACTACTACTACTACTACCACCACCCCGGCGAGGGCTACTGCTACTACCGCTACCACTACCACTACTACTACTACTACTACTACTACTACTACTACTACTACTACCACTACTACTACTACTACTTGTACTACTACTACTACTACGACTAGTACTACTACTACGACTACGACTACTACTACTACTACTACTACTACTACTACTACTACTACTACTACTAGTAAACACTACTACAGCTACAATTATCCACGCTACCAACACTACTACGGCTGGTACTGCTACTACCACCACAACCACGACTACCAACACTGCCACCACGTCTACTACTACTACTACTACTACTACTACGGCTGCTGCTACTACCCCGAATACTGTCCGTACTACTAGTGCTTGGCGTAGTCGTAGTATTACAACGATTTCACTACTACGACCACTGCTGCTACTACGACTACTGCTACTACTATTAATACTACAACTACGAGTTCCACGGCTACGAAGACGACGACTACGACGACGACTACTACTACAACTACCGCTGATATTACTACGGCCAGCGCTACTAACTGCCCCTGCTAAGTGTTACTACAATTTCTATTACGACCACAACCCCTGGTACCACTAATGTGTGGACTGCTCCGGCTACCAATGCGAATGCTACTACTACTGATACTACTACTACTAGTACTACTATTACTACTACTATTACTGCTACTACTACTACGACTACTACAACTACTACAACTACTACTACGGCCTCGCAGTACTAGTACACATACTAGTACCACTTCAACAAACACTGTTATTAAGACTACGACTACTACGACCACGACTACTACTTCTACGAAGGCCCCTGCCACTTCCGAACAGAAATAGTGTTCCGGCGACGCGAACAACAACTACTACGACGAGTGCTACGACTACGACTACAACTACAACTACTGCGAGAACACTACCACTATTACAACTTCAGCCCCTATAGCTGCCCCTGCAGCTACTCCTACTACCCCCACCACTAGTACTACTATCACTACTACTACTACTACTACTACTACTACTACTACTACTACTACTTCTACGATTACCACTTCAACTACTACTACTACTACTACTACGACTACTACTACGATGAAAACGACCTCTACTACTACTACGACTACTGCCGCTACCAATACTACGACTACTACGTCTAATACCAATACGACCACTACTACCACAACTACTACCACAACTACTGCTACGGAAACTACGACTACTACTATGAGTACTACTACTACTACTACTACTACTACTACTTACCACTACGGCTACCACTACAACTACGCCTGATAGCACGCCTACCGCTACTACTAAAACTACAACTAGGACTACTACTACGATTACGACTACGACTCCCATAAGTACAACTAACACTGCCACAGCTACATGAAATAGTAAGGCGACTACAACTCCTACTGCTACTACCCCTCACCCTCCTCCTCCTCCTAGTACTGCTTCCTCTACTACTACTACTACTACTACTACTACTACCACTACTACTACTACTACCACTATCACTACTGCCAGTACCAAGACCACTAACAAAACCACTACCACGACCACTGCGACTACTACCACTACTACTACTACTACTACTACTACTACTACTATTACCACTACTACAACTACTTCTGCTACTACTACTACGACTACTACTACTACGCCTACTTCTACCACTACTACTACTACTACTACTACTACTACTACTACCACTACCACTACCACTACCACTACCACTACCACTACCACTACCACTACCACTACCACTACCACTACTACCACAACTACTACTTTGATTGCGACTAGTAGTATGAAACATTACCCGTGCTGCTACTAGTAGTGCTACGGCCACTACTACTACTACTACTACTACTACAGCTATGTCTAGTGCTACTGTTACTACTCCTACTATTACAGCTACAATCACACACACTACTACTACTACTACTACTACTACTACTACCACCACTACTAGTACTACTACAACTACTACTACAACTACCCCCACTACTACTACTACTACTACTACTACTACTACTACTACTGCTATCACTAGTACTGCTACTACAACTACAACTACGACTACTACTACTACTGCTACTACCACGATGAGTACAACTTCTACTACTATTAGTACCACTACCACTACCAGTACCACTACTAATAAAACTACTACTACTACTACTACTATCACTACTACTACTACTACTACTACTACTACTACTACGACTACTACTACTACTACCACTACCAATATTACGACTACGACTTCTACGTCTACTACTACGACTTCTACTTCTACTACTACGACTGAGACTACTACTACCACTACTACTGCTACTACTACTGCCAGGACTACTACCACTACCACTACTACCACTACCACTACTACTACTACTACTACTAATACTACTACTACTACTACTACTATTACTACTACGACTACTGCAACTACTACTACTACTACGACTACTACTACTACTACTACTTTCACTACCACTACTACTACTACTACTACTACTGCTGATGCTGCTGCTACTACTACTACTACTACTACTACTACTACTACTACTACTACTACTACTACTACGACTACTCCTACTACTACGACTACTACTACGACTACTACTACTCCGACTACTACTACTACTACCACCACTACTACTACTACTACTACAACTACTACTACTACTACTACTACTACTACTATTACTACTACTACTACTACTGCTACTACTACTAGCAAGACGAACACTAATACTACGAATGCCAATGCTGGCCTACTAATTTCTCCCCTGCGCAGGGTAGGCCAAGAGGCATTGCGCTAGGGCCAATCACCGCACACCAATATCAAGCACGGCGGATCATCGTGGGAAGATACAACTGACCCGTGTCAGAAGGTTGCACGAGAAGGATGCAAACGGCCTATCAATGCCGTTTCGCAGGTTTTCGAGCAGGGCGCGGCCAAACCAAGGATGGACCGAGGAGGCAAGGATGCAAGGACATCCTTACGAAGGATGCCCAACCTTATCATGCGGGTCCAGCAGAGTAATCCTCCGGCGGCGACGACGAAGGGGACGACGACGAGGAGAAGGAGGCGACGACGACGAACACTACGACGACGACGACGAAAACGATGAATACACTCGAAGACTCGATTGGAGACGCATCGACTTCCATTGCAGACCTTGTACAAACATGCTCGTTCTTTATTCCGCGTGCAAGGTCCCCCAAGAGGCACTGCCCACTGAGAAAACTAAACAGACCAGCAATATTCAGCACGGCGAGCAATAAGCGGCGACGACGTCGACACAAAAAACATTGAGGACTCGATTGGAAATGCATCGACTTCTTTTGTAAATCTTGTGCGAAGAGGCTCGAGACTCCTCCCGCTACCCAGCAAGATTCAGCACGGCAAAGAATAGTAGGGAAAATAATTCTCTGGCGGCGTCAACGACGACGAACACGACGACAACGCCAGGTTTCGAGCAACAGTGGCTGCGGCGGTGAGGCTCCTGACTTCGCAACCCAGGCCACGGCGGCGAGGCTTCCCACCCACAACTCAGGCATGACGGCGAGGCTTCTCTTAAGTCGAGCCTGTCTCTATACAGGAGGAATATTCAAAAATAGTAAAATAGTCTGGGGATTATTGCTGTATTATTTTGAGCATTTTGGGAGTATGTTCTAAATATGTTTAATCTTTCCCCCAAAACCCCCTGTAGGGGGACAGGCCCGACTTAAGGCTTCTCACACCCAGCCCAGGCACGACTGAGAGGCTGACCCCACAACCTGGGCACGGAGGCGAGCCTTCCGACCCAAGGCGCAGGCACGTCAGCGAGGCTTCTGGCCCACAACCCACGCGCGGCGACGAGGCCTCTGTCCCCGCAACCTGGGCACGGCGGTGAGGCTTTTGAGGAGGAGGAGGAGGAGGAGGAGGAGGAGGAGGGGGAGGAGGAGGAGGAGGAGGAGGAGGAGGAGGAGGAGGAGGAGGAGGAGGAGGACTGACGACTGACTGGGCTGGAATGCCACCGGTGGCGGTGGCAGGCCGGAAAGGCGGGTTCCGAGTCGGACGGGCGGGCCGTCTGAGGGCCTCCGAGCCCCACGTCTGAGGCCCTCAGCGGCGACGCGCTGCCCCAGCCCGCACGCACGGGCCAGCGCGGACTCGAAGATCCAAACGGGCGCGAGCACAGCGGGGAGGCGGCTCGGCTACGGTGGCTCCGACCTTCGCAACCTCCTCGCAGCGCCTGATCTGCTCCGCGATCTCCTCCATCGACTCCAACTGGACGGGCGGTGCCGAAACCTCAGGGCGCCACTGGGATGGGTCGGGCTCAACGTCGTCGTCGTGTTCGTCGTGGTCGTCGTCCGCGGCGTCGTACTCGTCGAAAGCGTAGTCGAGATCGTCGTTGTCGTTGTCGTCGTGGTCCTGGTCGTCGTCGGGGTTCATGTTCTTGGAGTGTTTGGCCCTTCTGTGGTCCTCTGGAGACCACTGCAGCAAACGCCAACGGAGCATGAAACTTCCAGCCAGCCCATTCCCCTCCTCCTCCTCTCCCTGCCTCCTTCCCCTCCTGCTCCTCCTCCTCCTCATGCTCCCTCCCTCCCTGCTCCTTTCTCCCTCTTCTCGGGACGCCGCAGGCTGGATGCCGACCGGTACCTCTAGAAGCATCCTTCGTTCGAACGTGGGAAAGCGCGTGCCGGCCCGAAGTCGAGATACACCGAACGCTTATCGTTCGGTGTATCTCGGTTTCGAGCTCGAGCACTGGCATGTGGGCTACCTCGGACTCTCGTCAAAGTGCTTCGAGTTCTGGTGTGGGGTGTGGGCCAAGGGTGCTCCGCCCAGGGGCTGCTTTTGGCCCGGTGTTTCAGTGCGGGAGACATGTTTCGTCTTCGTGAACATCTGCATGATTGCCACCCTCGAAGGGCTCACTACACATCATCCAGACATTGAATCAACTTAGGGATGAATATCGACGATTAAAACGGCTACGGCGCCAAGACCCAGCCACATCATTATTGCAAACCTTGTCGAAATCCCACCAGCCCTTTGGGCGTGAGTGGTTTAGGGAGCTCTCTCTGTTCTCAACCCCCCTTCTTCCCCTTCGGGGAGGGGTTTACCTCTCCCCCTACCCCCTCCCCCTGGGCCTGGAGAGGTCCTTCCGCGGGTGGTCAGAGGGGTCGTTTTCGACTCCTGGGAGGGCTAAAAAACGACACCCCTCACGAGGATTCTGGCCCAGACGGGGGGAGGGGGAAAAAATGCTCCCCTCTTCTTTGAAGCCAAAATCATTGATTGTACTACGGTTTTGGCCCCATTTTGGCCTTCTGAGGGGGCAGCGCTAATTAAAGCTCCCCTCTTCTTTCAAGCCAAAATCATTGACTTTACGAAGGTTTTGGCTCCACTTTGCCCTTCTGAGGGGGCAGCGCTAATTAAAGCTCCCCTCTTCTTTGACAGATTTCCTCCAAGATGGCCCCAAGAAGCGCCCAGGAGGCACCAAGAGGCCCCAAGATGGCCCCAAGAGGCCCCCAGGAGGCCCCCAAGAGGCCTCCAAGAGGCCCCCAAAATGCCCCCAAGAGGCCCCCAAGAGGCCCCAAGAGGCTCCCCCGAGGCACCCAAGACGCTCCTGGAAGCCCCTGGGGCCGCCAAGAGGCCCCCAAGACGCCCCAAACGGCCTCCAAGAGGCTCCCAAGAGGCCCGAGAGGCTCCCCCAAGGCACCCAAGACGCTCCTAGAAGCCCCTGGGGCCGCCAAGAGGCCCCCAAGACGCCCCAAAAGGGGACGAGGTGCCCGAACGCCTCACGCCACGAGGAGCCCGAACGACTCACACCAGGACGAGGGGCCCGAACGACTCACACCACGAAGAGCCCGAACGACTCACACCAGGAGGAGGGCCCGAACGACTCACACCAGGACGAGGGCCCGAACGACTCACACCAGGACGAGGGGCCCGAACAACTCACACCACGAGAAGCCCGAACGACTCACACCAGGACGAAGAGCCCGAACGACTCACACCACGAAGAGCCCGAACGACTCACACCAGGAAGAAGGGCCCGAACGACTCACACCAGGACGAGAAACCCCAAACGACTCAAACCACGAGGAGCGCTTTCTCTCCCTCCTCCTCCGCCTCGTCCTTCTCCCGCTCCCACCACAAGGAGGATGTACAAGGAGGCGGGAGGAAGGAGGAACAGGGGAGATATGCGGGGGCAGGCGGAAACACGCCTGACAAACACGACTGTCGGCATGCTTCGCAAGAGTTGCTGTTTTGAGATGGGCTGGTGGGGATACGCGAAGCGTGAAGAATTGTCACGGACCTCGGTGAAGTCGAAGACGCGAAACACGAAATTGGACTGGCGGAGGAAATGGGCACAACCGGTGCAAGATCTGGACCGCGAGCACCGAAAACTGGACACGACATCGCACTCTGGCAATTCCACGGTGGCACTCGGTGCGGATCTGGAGCCAGGTAGGCTTCGCGTTGCACGTGCGTCCACGGCAGCTGTACGTAAGGTGTCCAGAGCACTGAAACGTCGCATGTTGTGCTTGCGAGCTTTGCGTCGACGTTTCAAAGCAGGAAGCTCCTGGCGTCAGAAGACATACGTACCAAGGTCCGACCAGCGGCCGCGTTCGGCAGTATGATTACCGGCCTGGTACACAGCCCGCCAAGGGGGCCCAACGCCGATTTAAGAAATCCGCGCGGAACTCCAAACAGTCAGGTTTTTGCTGACAACAATTTCGTCTGTGATCTACGCCGTTTCATACCGCATAGGGTCGCATGTGTGAGCGCGAGGCTGCTGCCTCAGGGTGATCCTGCATGGCAGGCTCTGGTGGCACTCCGACCTTTTCTACTGCCACAGACATGCGATGTCCTGATGTGTTCAGTGCGGCCCCCCAGGAAGGCCCGACCCTTTCTCCGGGACCGGTTCTTCATCCTCCCCGATGGTCCGCTACCGAAAATTTCCGGTAGCGCTCCGCAGGGATCGGTCGCTACCGAAATACCGAAAGCTATAGCGCCCAATACCGGTATCAGAGCGTTCTGAAATCCGCTCTCTCAACGCCCTCAGACGAAGATCCGGTCGCTACCGAGATTCGGGGTGCGTCGAAATCGCTACCGAAGATTTCCGGCACCAGACCATCTGGGCTGAGTCGATGTTTTGACGGTTTCGGGGCCCGGCGAGGGACCCCCAGAGGCTAAAACACGAACCAAACACATCCCAGCCGGATTCTTTCACGGCGCGAACCTCCTCCTCCTCCTCCTCCTCCCCCTCTTCTTCTTCCTCCTCCTCCTCCTCCTCCTCCTCCTCCTCCCCCTCTTCTTCTTCCTCCTCCTCCTCCTCCTCCTCCTCCTCCTCCTCCTTCTCGGGACGGTGCTCCCCGCCTCAGGTCTGAGCACTCGGCTGTCCTGGACTCTGGTTGGCACAACGATGGACACGTGAGCGCGGGAGCTGCACAGCTGTCTGGATGGCGCTGAGGTTGTATTCACGTATGTGTGCACGTCTGTGTATGTATGCATGGATGTAGGACTGTATGAATGTGTATACATGTAGACATAGAGAGAGATCAGCTGTCACTTGCTGCAACATTGTCTGGTAATGGTAGAGGGCTTGAGAAGTGAAATCCATTTGGGACGCACAAAGACATATTATTAGTAGATGTGCCGCCTTGGAGGCGCGCGTCCCGAACATATAGTACACCCATCTTGTAGTATATCGTTTCCCGAGCGGTGTGACCAGAAAGCGCCCACAACGACGCACATACTGTAAGACTTCTCGGTGCGCGCGTCGCCCCTGGGGGGGGACGACGCACACATCGTAGAAGCATGTTGGGGTGACGCCGACCTTGCGTGGCTTTGATCCATCGGCGGGAGCCAATGAAAAAGTGGGGTGGCGCTCGCTACGCCCCCTGAGATCCTTCAATTCAGCGATCTGGCCACTGAGAATCTCCGTGGCGACCGGGGAGGCGAGGATTACTGAACTGATGGATTTCGGTATGCCAGGACACCGAAATCCATCAGTTCAGTCCTCCTCGCCTCCCCGGTCGCCACGGAGACGCTCACGGGCCGGATCCCTGCACTGACGGGTCTCGGGGTGCGCACTCGCGCACCCTGCCGCACGCGAAGCGCACCCTCCAGCGATGCTGGAGGCCTCCCGATGGTGCCTGTTTTTCGTTTTGGACTCGGGCAGGTTTACTTGCATGGACGGGGGGGGGGGGGCCGCGTCTGAGGCAAGCCGAAAGCGATCCGACGTGCGGAAAGCACGCGCAAGTCTAAAAGGCACTTGCACCCTCGTGTTTGATTGAAGAGGGGCGAGGGGGGAGAGGGGGGGGGGGGGGGGGCGAACGCCATGCAAGTAAGCTTGCCTGGATCTAAAGAAAAGCAGGCTCATGAGGCCCCACGGGGCGCCGGGGCCGAGCACCCCCGGGGGCCTCGAGGGCCTCCCGGCTGGGGCCCGAGGGTGGCACCGCAGCGGCGAGGCAGTCGCCGCTCTCGGCGGTGCCAGCGCGGCGTGGGGGGCAGCGGGCCCCGCGTCGCGCCGCATCGGCGATGCATCGGCGATGCGGCACGGAGGAGGAGGAGGAGGAGGGAGGAGGAGGAGGAGGAGGAGGGGAGGAGGAGGAGGAGGAGGAGGAGGAGGAGGAGGAGGAGGGGGGGCTGGAGGTGGAGGAGGAGGTAGGAGGAGGAGGGGCTGGAGGTGGAGGAGGAGGTAGGAGGAGTAGGAGGAGGAGGAGGAGGAGGAGGAGGAGGAGGAGGAGGAAGAGGAGGAGGAGGAGGAGGAGGAGGAGGACTCCCGCCCCCAGCTGGGAGGCCGAGGGCCAGGAGGGAGATCTTGGAGGCCACGTCGTGTCCACGTCGGATTTGAGTCTCGGGGTGTACGTCCGACGTGCGTCGGACTTGCGTCGGGACATCGCCGCGCGTAGAAGTCCGCAGCGAGGTGACACGTGTCACCTCGAAAGCCATGTGCGAAAAAACAGCTGCTTTACTTGCACTGTGAGGGCAAACGTGGGGCTGTGCATTCTAGCATTCTAAGAACGCACCAAGAGAGCGTTTCTTTATGTTCGGCGATGACGGGCGTCATGTGGGGGGGGGGCGGGCGGGGGGGTATGACGTAACGCCCCACCCACAGCCGCGCCCGCGCGCACGACGCGACGAGCGACGAGCGACGAAAAACGACGGCGACGATGACGAGGAGGACGACGCGAACAAAATGTAGGTAGCCATATGCCCCACGGCGCCTGTGTACACATCGCTCGCGTGCACCACAACGCGCCCGAACACCATAACACCTGCGTACACCGCAAGAACCGTGTGCAACGCAGCGCCTGTGTACACAACAGTGCTTGCGTACACTACAGCGCCGGTGTACATGTGCACACCGAAGCAACCATGTGCAACAGAGCGCCTGTGTACACCACAATGCTTGCGTGCACCGCAGCGCCTGTGCACGCCACAGCACATGTCTACACCACAGCATCCGCGTGCAACGCAGCGCGACTGTACACCAGTGCCTGCGTGCATCACAATGCTGATAATCGGATGCGACGTTCTTTCCTCTTCCCTCCGTCTCCACCTCCACCTCCACATCCTTCTCCTCCTCCTCCTCCTCCTCCTTTTCGTCCTCCTCCTCCTCTTCCTCCTCCTTGCCCCCTGTCGTGTGGGGTGGCGCTACAGCGCCTGTGCGCAATTCAGCGCGCAGTGCACCGCATAATGGTCAATTGAATCGGTCCACTTGGTTCTCGGACGGCCAATTTAGCTGGAGCCTCCTGGACGCAGATGGGAGAAGTTAGGGTGATGCGGGCGGGTTCCAGCGGCGCTCCTTTGTCCATAAGGATTCCTTTGTATTGTTTCCTGTGGAATCCACAAGCGCTCCATTTTGTCATACGGATTCCTTCTAACATTCGATATGCGAGGGTGGCGCTGTGTTGCACACGGTTGCTGTGGTGCACACAGGCGCCGTGGTGCACACACTGCAATGCACGCAGGCATTATGGTGTACACCGGTGCTGTGTTGCACACGGCTGATGTGGTGTACGCAGCTGCTGCGGTGTACACAACAGCTGTTGTGCCCGCGAGCACGGTGGCACAAGCTGACGCTGTGCTGCACGCGGCTGTCGTGGTGTACATACGCGGTGTGGTGTACACAAGCGCTGTGGTGCACGCAGGCACTGTGGTGTACACAGGCGTTGTGGTGCAAATCGCCACCTATATGCTGGTGCTACCCGTCCTCCGTTACTCCTAGGCATTCCCAGAAGCCGCCGGCGCGAAACATGATGTCATCGACCCCCTCCGCACCCCCTCAGATGATTGCCGTGATCGGCTCGGAACAAAGAACAGGCTCCAGCCGCGTCCGTGCGCACGACGACGATGAGCGACGAGCCACGAGCGATGACTACGACGACGACGACGACGACTGCGGACCAGACTCCTATGCGGATTCTTACGCGGACGCCTACGCGGATCCCAGCGCGCACGGCGGCAGCGCCCGGAGCGCACTGGGGGGGGGAGCGTTACGTCATAGGGGGGGGGGGGGGCGGGCGCCATGACGCCCGTCATGTCCCAAGCAATAAAGAAATGGTCTCCAAGATGACACCTGCCACGCCGAGCACTGTCAGAAAGACTTGATTCATGTATTCTGAGGACCAACATGGGGTCAATGCAATATAAGAAAACACACAGAAATGCTACGCATCAGCCCGAAAACCGTGCAAAAACAGAAAATGTCACTTGTACTCTGAGGGACAACGTGGGCCCATGCAATTCGCCGGCCCAACGGGCCAGAGGCGTGCTAAGACTTCCGGCAACTGCTAAATAATACTTCTACTTCGCGCGCGCGGGGCGGCTCCTGGGGGTCCCCGGACGAAAAGTACCCCGGGCGATCCCCGGCAGACTCGGATCAGAGATGGTTTTCCTCCTGAGCGCCGCCCCCGTGGCCCTCCAGAGAGCCCCAAGAAGGGCCACGAGGCCGCCAAGAGCTTTCCAAGATGGTTCAAGAGTGCTCCGAGATGCCACACGATCGTTCCAAGACGCCCAAGATGGCCCCCAGACGCCCCAAGAGGCCTCCAAGAGCACTCCCCAGAGGGCCCCAAGAAGCAAAATGCATTACCTGTCCTTAGGTTTTGGGCAGATTTTGGCGTGTCCATCTTTTCGGCTTCCCGACGCCCCAAGACGGCCCAAGAGGCCCCCAAGATCGCCCCAAGAGGGCCCAAGAAGCTCCCAAGAAGGCCCCAAGATGGCCCAAGAGGGCTCCAAGACGGCCCCAGAGGCATCCAAGACGGCCCAAGAGGGGCCCAAGAGGGCCCCAAGCGATGCCCCAAAGGGGGAACACAAAACAAAACTTCGAGCCCTCGGCCTTAAGAAGCCCCCAGGAGGCCTCAAGAGGCCCCTGAGAGGCCCCAAGAGCCCACAAGAGGCCCTCAGGAGGCCCCCAAGCGACGGTGAAGAGGACCCCCAGCGGCCCCAAGAGGCTCCCCAAATGTCCCCTCCAGCACGCAACAAATGCCAACGACCCGACGCGTTTAAGAGCCCACCACAACCCCCAAAAGTCCCCAAATCCGACAAGGCTCCGAAGAGGCCCCCAAAATAATTATCAACACTTCATCCAAAGAAACTGCCTAGAGCTCTCCGAAGCGACCCCGACCGTACCCAGGAGGACTCTAACCTTCTACCAAGGCACGGTGACAGGATCCCCTTCGAAACTTTTCGGCCCTCCTGGACAGCCCCGGCTAATCTCGAAAGACTGCAGAAGCCTCTCGGGCCATCTTGCCACTCTCGCCCCGCTGCTGCCCAGCTACGCGTCTTCCACAAGCGCGGTAGCGGATACGCGCGGCTCAGTCATGCGAAATGGTCCGGCGGAATGAGCGAAGCGATTCAATACAGGGAAGCTTCTCTTTGTGACACGTGTCACACCGAAACCCGTATAAGCAGAAACTACATATGCCCCTTTGCCCTGAAAACAGCCATGGGGCCATGCAAGTTAGGAAAACACCACATTCACACGTCTCATCCCGAAAATCGCGTGCGACAAACCAACTGTTCCACTTGTACTCTGAATGCCAACATGGGGCCATGCAGTCTAAGATAACACCAAGGTGGTTCGCGTCTCACCAAAACCCGTATGAGGAACACACAGATCGTTCCACTTGTATTCTGAAGGCCAGCATAGGGCCATCCAGTGTAAGACAACACCGAAAGCTGTGAAGGAACAACAACTGCTTCACTTGCATTGCGATGAACAACACAGGGGACATGCAACATAAGAAGAAAAACAAGGTGGCACGTGTCACCCCGAAAACCGTGAGAAACAGCGAAGCGCATGTCACGTGAATGATGAGGCCCAGCACGGGGCCATGCAATACAAGAACACACCAAGCAAGCACGCATCACCCCGATAACCGCGTGAGCAACACAATTGTGTCACCTGTAGTCTGAAGGCCAACCTGGGGCCACGCAAGTTG